ACGACGCTCGAGTCGAGAAACGTCAGGTGAGGTGAGAAGGGGCCAGAGTCGATCAGACAGCTGAGACTATGCGCATCCGGGCCTGAGAAAAGAGAGGCAAGAGGGTAGAAAATGCAATGCAATAGACATCGCAAAACAGCGTAAGTGGGCAAAAGTGCAAACGAAAGTTTCTAACTGGTCATCGTCAGACTTTTATGGTAACATACACAGACGGTAATGGATGAGTGGAGGGGTCATTCGCAGAGGGGAGAGAATGGCGCTCGCATTTGTAGCGGCTTTGCTAATTGAGAGATTGGGATGGTAACGTCGGAAGAAACGTTTACCGACAACGGGCTGGGCAATATACAAGCATACCGAAGCAAAGTCTGATATATATATATATATATATATATATATCGAAGTCGAAAATATGCTTTGAGAAAGGAAGTCTATTGTGCAAATTTTCGACGCCGGTTCTCTGGGTCGCCATCGGACAGAGACGGAGAGCAAATGCGCCAACAGATTTAACGTCTTAGGTGCACTTGAAAATCGATACTCGCTTGGCGTTCATGCCATTAAGCGGTCGGCGTGTGTGTCAGTCCGTTCCGATTGGCCTTCGCTTCTTCCATCTCTCCTCGAGATTTCTGTAAGCGGCATCCAGCTCGATGTGCCGGTTGATGCATGATTCGTTTGAGTACTCAACTCTCGACCTTTCTTCGAGGGACACAAAGCGACAATGCGAGTTTTTTCCCAAGCGAAAGTGTGCCCCGTGTTCAGGCTGTGCATGGCTACTTGAGAAAGGTGGTCTCGCCTTTTCACTGCCAACTGGTGTTCGTGAATGCGTGTAGAGGCGCATCAGGCGTTGGCGGCGCGCCTAGGTGCGGCTTCGGCCGTGCCAGCCTCCAAATCTCTGTTGTGTTGGTTGAAATCCTGGTTATTGTTGCGTGGACCAGGGGGTGTGGTGGAACGCCAAGGTGAGGATCCGTCCGAGCCATCCACCTGCGGCCTCCCTCGTCTCCGGTCTTCTTGACTCTATCTTGACACCGGGCTCGGGCGAGGGAGGAGGAGAGAGTGTAGGTAGATGCAGCGCAAGTCTCCTGGCACTATAAACCCCTGCGCAAGTCACCGTCCCTGCTCCAACCTGCTGTGGGGCACACGGTTGACATCATCGAAATCGATGGTCGAACTGTCAGAGGCGCATTTTCCAGTCTGGCCGCAATAGACGGCATCACATGCATCAAAAGGGATCTCGTAAACGACTTCTTTCTTGTCCATATAGTTAACCATATCCTTAGGGTGCGCGAGCCGAGTGCGCAAAGTAGTTGTCGGTCGGTGCGCCACCTTAATTTGGTGCTTCCTTCAGTGTTTTTCAACGAGTTCAGACACATTTTTAATGTAAGAAAGTGTTCGCCAAGTTATTGGTCCGGACGCCTGATTTAGATTACCTGGCTCCTTTCTCTTCGACTCCTTCTGCCTCATGCATCGGCGTACAAAATCGCTAGGTTACCCATTCCGCAAAAACAATTCACACAAGAAATTTAGTTCATCTCGACAGCCTTCTTCATCAGAACAATGTGTTCTTGTTCGATTAAGCAGACTGTTGACAGCACCCCGTTTGTTAGAGATTAGCAGATTGCTCTCGTAAGGTAGAATGAGTTCCGCATAAGTGTCTTTACGGTAAACGACGTACTTAGTGTTCCGTCGGTCTTTCGCTGTACGAGAACACCCAGGAAAGGGAGTTTACTGTCGACTTCCTTTTCGATTGTGAATGTAATCCCCGGAATTGTTGAGTTTATACTGTCGTGGACCGCTTCCGATTGGTCCTTTTTAACGGCAAAAAATGTGCCATCTACATATCGCAGCCGCAATTTAGGTTTAATAAATGGAAGAGCCGTAGTCTCCAGTTTCTGCATTGTGACTTCGGCGAGAAAACCTGAAATTTGCACAATAAACTTTATTTCCCAAAGCCTATATTCGACTTCGACTTATATTTCTTGGGATACCTACTTACCTCTGGTTGCCTATTTGAGACCCCTATCGCCCATACGAAGCTTGTTTGCTTCGGGAAGTCAATTGATCGGTGTGCGCCCATTCCTGATTTAAAAAAATACCCGATCTGCAGCGACAGAGAATGGCAGGTGGCGAGGCACTGATGAACTTCAGTTCGACGAGGTGCTTATGACCCATCTGGTAGACCCCAGTGGTGGACCGGCTGCGCCAGGTGCGTCTGTGCGCATGTTTGTGTTTCCGGTACCAGCTGGTGGTCAGGGTTAAGATTGACTGAATGAAGGCAGAATAAGCCCGAAACAGTGCTGTATCAATCTACCCCCCAGACTCTGTCGTCTCTCCTCTGATATATATATATATATATATATATATATATATATATATATATATTATGATAGTGGGCGCTCACCGATCAGGTTACGGAACATGCTCGTTCCGTTGTGCCTTGGGGCTCATACTTAAACCCTCGCAGGCAGTCGCACAGCGACTAGTGATATATGTTGAGAAGGTGATACCGACAAAGACAAGGGAGACCGGAATGGCCATTTCTGGCTTATTAGCCGTCATCAGCCAGTCATACCCAACCCCAAGTGTGGATCACTTGAGATTCGAACCCGGGATCTTTGGTCATGGAGTTGAACGCTCTACCATTGAGCCACGGGCCCGTTATATATATATATATATATATGAGAAAGTGAAGGCTCTTCGGAAAATTGAGTTGTACTCGTAAATTTTCAAGTCGGTGACACCGACCCGTCGTCAGACGAAATGAACAGAGGGAAAGTGAAGTCAGCAGACTAGGTCGGCTGGCGCGACAGGACAGACAACGACAAACAGACAGCAGATGTTTGAGAGGGGTGGGCACCTAGTTATGGTAGGCCGTGGGGCAGGGGGAGGGAGGGAGGAACCTTTAGGGCTCCCAGTGTTGGAGGCGGTGAAAACGCGGGGGGATGGGGTTTGCGAATCAGCGGGAATGCGGGCGGCTGGCCACTGATGCGGACGGCTAGTCACTGATGCGGGATGAGGTCAGGGGCCAATGCGCCGGCGTTGGAGGTGTTAGGGGGGTTTCGGTTGTTGTTCACC